TAAAATAACTGGATTTCACACGACTTAATATCCACTATTACATTTTTCTTTCATTAGAACAAATTTATTTTAATTATTGTTACAATATTTATTGCTAATGAACGTTTATATATGCTCACCTTAACAATGCCGTGTTGATCATTATAAGTGCGGCAATTATTATGAACAGTTGAAACATATTATCCAAATTTTCTTAACGATTAAATCTATAAAAATTAAGGTTTTAGATAGTGCTTTTTTTCAAATCAATTCGCAATTAGTGTATAACAAAAAAAGAGCAAATCAATCATTAGCTCAGCTTATATTCGAATTTATATATAAGTGTTTCTATTTATGAGAAGATCAGCAAGATAAAAGAATGCGCAATGCGTTATAAAAGCAGTCTTAGTTTTTAACATTAAATTATTCAGATAATAAAATGTACAATGATTTCACAGTACATGCATGGATTATCCGCACGCATGAATGTCATGCGCCTGACATGTGTCTTTAATTGAGTGCCATATCTGAGATAATTCCTTTTGCCTACAAATCGATTGCCTATACTTATAGTATCGTTTGCCTACATCACATTTGCCGACAGTTTGTTTGCGCACAAAAATTATTGCCTTGATTTCCTACATGTACCTTTGCGCACAAATAAAAATTTCAGAAACGAATTAGTCACATTTGTATGTTATTACCTATAGAAATTATTGCAACATTAATGTCATGTTAATTAAAAATTATTGACGTTTAACGTGTCAGTAATTAAAGAACTTATATCGATTTTTTATAATTGAGTTCTTACACCCACTATATAAAATACGTTAAAAAATTATTTATTTATTTATTTATTTATTTATTCACAAGGTTTTTACATTTTCTTGTTGTAGATATTTACTGTACTATTGTATAAAAATTAGTAATCAAAACATATACAAAGAAATTAAATAATACACAACATTAGTGCAAATTTACGTTGTATAATAATAAAATAATAATTAATATAACCTGTAAAAAATCGCTTAATTTCGCTCGCATAAATGTGACATTTTGTAAAATGTTTCTTTGTGATCAGTTTTATTCAAAATCTAGCTGCCAAAGGCTGACAGATAAATAGTTATTATTTGTTTTTTTAGGCATGCATCATTTTAAATATGAAAAATTACTCGAAATCTCACTAGAGGAAGGCAATAAGAATTACATTATAAATCAATACATTCTAAATACGTATGTATGTATAACTGTATTGAATTGTTTATTGAAATTTATTATCACATTTAGTTGGATAATTCATTTTTAAAAACATATATAGTGTAAGTGTCTTAATTTTCAAAATATTAAAAAATGTTATAAAAAATATTTTTTATTATTAGAATATACGATCATTTACAAATTTTCGTGAGAATATTTAAAAATATTAGATTTTGACCCAAATCTCAAGCTCTTAAATCATTGTAGCATTAAGAACAATTTCTACAATTAACAAGTGCTAAAAAATATTGCAATTCTTATACATGCGTTGATTATTATCTTCTTTTATTTAAATTTTATTTAGCACTTTCTATAGTATCTAGTTCATGTAAATTTTTAAAATATGTTTAAAATTTAAAATAATATTAACAAAAGAAACATTAAAAAATATGTATTTTAATAACAATTAATAAACGAGTATGAAGAGATATTTGATTAATAAATTATTTAATATGTGTCTTAAAAAATATAATATATAGGTTTTGACTTCAGAACCTTCATCAGTATAATCGTAAAATCTTATTTTAGTATGTAAAACTATAATTGACAATAATCTGAATCGTTCGTAAAAGCAGTCCATAAATCACATTCCATAAATCATCGGCTTTTTTGAATATATTTACAAACCACAATTATTGTTGTCCAGATGTAAAATTTATATATAATAACTATAATCTTCGTTAAACGGTGCGAATCGACGTTAAGTCCAATGATATTAATAATAATTAAGATGAAAAATTTAGATTAAAATAAAATTAAAAAATTAAGAATAAAATGATTTCTTGATAAAAACAGAACAAGAAGCAGTGACATATTTACGGTTATGGTGTGAAATGAAACACACAAAATTTAAGTAAGAATTAAGAAGTCTGGTAGTAATTATTTGAAGCTGTTTCTATTGACGAGTATCAAATATGACTGAGAACCGAACTAGTTACTGTACATATTATATATCAAAGACGTAAAACAATAGTATGTGTCAAAATTAGCTATAGGTTTTAAAAGTTCTTTTAAGATGTCGAAATAATCCATCCAACATTTCTATATCTTTTTTATAGTTAGTTCCATTTATTTGCTCCTTGATGTGTATATATAGTATAATATATATCATCTCTGTAATCAATCTTTTGTTGAAATTATGTTCTAGGATTCTTACATTTTCCCAATCAATTTATATTTAATATGTGTTCTGAAATAACTGAGTGTTTGGAAGGATTAGATTTTATTTTGTGCTCTTTTAATCTTGTTTGCAAATGCCTCTTCGTTTGGCTTATATTTGGTTTTCCAAACTTATAAACGCATTTAAATTACGTAGTAATATCACGAATTAAATTGACAACCAATTTTAATAATTTGATGCTCAATCGGGCATCCTATTAAAAAGATGTTAATATACTGAAAAATTGTAAATTTATTATGAAAAATATTATCTCTCAGCCGGGAGTCAAAAATCCGGATCTCTTGTATTCCGTCCTAAGTTTTTAGATTCCAATATACTCTTGGGACAGACAAATAAGCTGTCGTCTACATATCTGTAGATGGATAAATTAAACATGCTCAAAACATTCTCCTTTATATTTTGCATAACTATGTCTGCAATGATAAAGGATAAGGAGAAATCCATGGGAGTGCCATAAGTCTATTTGTAAAACACATTGTTAAACTTGAAGTAGATAATAATAGAAATTTTATGGTATATATGAACTCTTCCTTTGGTAATTTTGTAAAGTTTTTTATATACTCCCATCTCCTTTCAATGGCAAGGATGTATTGGATAATATACTTAGTATTAATAAATTTAATAGTTATCATGAGCGTCTAAAATTCACCGTGGAGTTAGAGAAGAACCATTGTCTTAATTTTCTAGATATTTCTTTGATCATCAGAGACAATAAAATTATCATAGATTGGTTCTACAAAAAATTTTTTTCGAAATGATATTTATCATTCCATTCTAATTATCCTAATTGTCAAAAAATAGGAACTATTAGGTGTGGGAAAAAGTTCATAGCGTTTTTTTAATGCCATCTAACGGGAAAAACGCCACGAACTTTTTTCCACACCTAATATATACAATTTAATAAGTCGCTCCATATTATTATTACACTCTTCATTTTACAGTAAAAATATAGAATTTTGCATTATTTTATTGAATAATTGTTACCTTCTCGAATTTATTTTTAATGCTAAAAGATTAAAAAATATATTTGTAAATAAATCTAGATTTTTAAATGATCCAAGTCCAACAGTAGAGAAAAAGAAAAATTCAGATACAATAAAAAAAGATCTCATTGTATTAATTCATTTATAAAGAGTGTTAGCAACATCAATTTTTAATAAAACGACATACCATGATAGATTTTCGTAGTATAAATAAGCTCAATAAATTCATAAAGGTCTATAAAGACAAAATATATCTTTGTAATAATCATCTAATTTATAAAATCAATTATAAAAATTGCAATGCTTCAAATGTAAGCCAAACGAAGAGACATTTGCAAACAAGATTAAAAGAGCACAAAATAAAATCTGATCCTTCCAAACACTCAGTTATTTCAAAATACACACATTAAATATAAATTGATTGGGAAAATGTAAGAATCCTAGAATTTGAACATAATTTCAACAAAAGATTGATTACAGAGATGATATTATTATATATATATATATATACAAGGAGCAAATAAATGGAACTAACTATAAAAAAGATATAGAAATGTTGGATGGATCATTTCGACATCTTAAAAGAACTTTTAAAACCTATAGCTAATTTTGACACAAACTATTGTTTTACGTCTTTGACATATAATATGTACATTGTACAGTAACTATAGTTTGGTTCTTAGTTATTCTTGGGACTCGTCAATAGATATAGCTTCAAGTAATTACTGCCAGACTATTTAATTCCTATTTAAATTTTGCGTTTCATCTTACATCATGATGCAAGTTTGATTCTGTTTTCGTCAAAAAATCATTTTATTCTTAATTTTGTAATTTTATTTAAACATAGATTTTTACATCTTGACTATTAATATCACTAGTCGATTCTCATTATTTCACGAGGATTATAGCTACAGAAATTTTATATCTTGACCATAATTATTGCGGATATAGTATAAGATGGAGATGTGCTACAAGTATATTTAAAGAAGCCGATGATTTATGGAATGTGATTGCTTTTACGATTCAGATTATTGTCAATCATAGTTTTATATATCAAAATGTAAGGCTTCACGATTATTACACTAATGAAGGCTCTGTGAGTCGAAACATATATATCACATTTTTTAAGATACATATTAAATAATTTATTAATCAAATTTCTTTGTACTCATTTATTGATCGTTATTAAGATACATATTGCTTTGCGTGCAAATATTCATTCTATTATATTTATTTATTTATTAAAAAAGGTCTTTATATAAAAGACAAGTATTTATATATATATATAT